CAGTTTTTTTTTTTTTTTACAATGCTCTGGGAGATGCATGTTATGCATGTTATGAAAGCAGTGTAAATTCTTTCTTTTAGCGATAGGTGCTATTTACTTTTTTATTGTGGTTTTTTTTTTTTTTTGAGACATGTTCTCCCTGCAGCCCCAGCTGGCCTGAAACTCGCTGTGTAGACCAAGCTGGCCTCCATTTCACGGAGATCCGCTTGCTTCTGCCTCCGGCGTGGGCCACCATGCCCTGCTGATATTTTCAACTTGATGAATTACTTGTCTTTTATCCATGAATAATTTCAGCCAATATATTTTTATTTTTTGCAGTACTGAGAAATCAAACCCAGGGCTTTGATGTCTACTAACCAAGTGCTCTACCACCAAGTTCTGTGCTCAGTTCCCATTCATTTATTACCACACAAGTGAAATCGTGTGCAACAGCAGTACTCAAGACTATCCCTGCATCTCCTGCCTTTTGAACACAGCATTGGCTAAGTCTTAACTTTACTGGCTAAGAAGCCATATCTAGCCTTCAAAGAGTGAATGATAACCATGAGGGCCTGTGAAAATCGAATCAAGGGGTTCTGTTGTGATTTGGAGTCTTACCTGTGCTAATGATGTCTTCGGGAAGTTCATCACCACAGTATCTGAAAGGGAATTTTCAGAAAAGAGAAGTCACAAGAAAAATAGTACACAGCTGCTGATGTGACTCTTTATAACAAAATGCTCTATTTCCCATAAATAATGGCTCATTTTCTCTAATTTAATTTTTTTTTTTTTTGTCTTTTTTGAGACAGGTCTCCCTGTAGCCCCAGCTGTCCTGGAACTCACTATGTAGACCAGGCTGGCCTCGAACTCACAATGATCCGCCTGCCTCTGCCTCCCAAGTGCTGGGATTAAAGGTGTGCACCACCACGCCCAGCCCTCTAATTTAATTTTTAAAACAGTTTTTAACTTGGATTTTTTAACATTGTTTTTTATGTGTTTGAGTGTTTTGAATGTACGTAAGTGTACCACATGCATGCAATGCCCATGGAAGCCAGAAGAGGGTGTCAGAGCCCCTGGAACTGGAGTTAGGGACAGTTGTTAGCTGCCATCTGGGTCCTGGGAACCAAACCCAGGTCCTACAAGAGTAGCCAGTACTCTTAACCACTAAGCCATCTCTCCAGCCCTGGCATTTTTTTTTTTTAATTAAAAACATTTTAATACGTAGGCGCGTGTACCTTCTTGTCTATATGTGCACCACGTGCATGCAGTGCCTGCAGAGGCCAGAAGAAGGTGTTGAATCCCTGGAACTGGAGTTAAGGACAGTTATTAGCTACCATGTCGGTGCTGCATCTTTTGCAAGAACAGCCAGTGCTCTTAACCACTGAGCCATCTCTCCAGTCCTCTTATTTTATTTTCTGAATGTTTTCCCAGCATGTATGTATGTGTACCACATGTGTGTCTGATGCACACTACAATGTTGAGTGCTGGGATACCAGGGATTAAACTCTGGGCCTCATACAAACTAGGAATGCTAGAAAGTGAAGTAGGCTCTATTATCCCCCAGCCCAAAGAGGGTGTCCTCTCCTCTCTCTCTCTCTCTCTCTCTCTCTCTCTCTCTCTCTCTCTCCCTCTCTCTGTCTCTCTCTCTCTCTCCCCTCTCTCTTCCCCCCCCTGCCTTTTTGTCCTCCAATAGTCCATCAGTCAAAGAACAAAATAAAACATACTTCATTCAAAAAAAATCCCAGTAATTTATGGAAGAAACACCCATTTTTCTGTTTCAGTTACACATTCAAAAATCAACATAAAGTATTGAATTTGGGCTGGTGCACATCTCCAATCTCAGCACTCCAGAGCCTAAAGCAGGAAAATTATAGATTCAAAGACAGTCCGGTCTTACACAGTGAACTCCAGGCCAGCCTAGGCTACATAGGGAGATCCTATTTTAAACCCCATCAAGCCAAACCAAACCAAACAATTGAGCCTGTCATTTTGAATTGCCTTCTCTTTAATTTTCTTTTATTAAATTACTATAATTTAAATAGAATATTGATATGTGATAGCCCCAAATACATTATTATTAAGTGGGGACCTGCATTTATAAATCAGCTAAGTATGTACTTTAATTTAGAAATGTTTTATAAGGCACTCAGAATTTAGACTATATTAAAGTTTTGGAGCAGGCCATGATGGTTCATGTCTGTAATCTCAGACTCATTCAAATAAACCAGGCATGGTATTACATTCTTGTAATCCCAGTACTTGGATGGCAGAGGCAGAATCAAAGGTTCAAGGGCATCCTCTATTACACAGTGAATTTGAAGCTAACTTGGGCTATGTGAGACCCTGTCTCCAAAATAAAAGAGACAGAAGTGGGGAGCGGGGTTACTTGAAAACCCTAATAGAAATCTCATTTCACATGTCTTTAGTTAAATCCTGAGGTTTTTAATAACTACACAATGAGATCTTACCACTTACTCATCAAAAGGCAGTTATTGCTGCTTTAATAATAAGTACATGGGGGTTGGCGAGATGGCTCAGTAGTTAAGAGCACTAGGTGCTCTTGCAGAGAACCTGGGTTCAGTTGACAGCACCTACATGGTGGCTAACAACCATTCTTAGCCTCAGTTCCAGGGGAATCCAATGCCCTCTTCTTATCTCTGAGGGCATTGCACTACATGGGTGCACTTACATACAAGCAGGCAATATACTCCTATATATAAAATAAAAATAACGAATGAAATACGTTTTTTTAAAAGAGTGCTTAGGAGGTGGAGGCAGGCAGAGCTTTGTGAGCTCAAGGCCAGCCTGGTCTACATAATGAGTTCCAGGTCAGCCGGGGCTACAGGGAGATCCTGTCTCAAAAAGAGACTGAAAAAAAAAAAACCCAAAACCAAGCCAACCAAACAACAACAACAACAACAACAACAATAAAGTAAGGGGCTAGAGAGATGGCTCAGCAGTTAAGAGCACTGGCTGCTCTTGCAGAGGACCCAGGTTCGATTCCCAGCACCTACATGGCAGCTAACAACCATCTGTAACTCTAGTTCCAAGGAAATCCAACACCTTCTTCTGAACTCTGATGGCACTGCATGACACAGTGCACTTACATAAACACAGGCAATACACTTATACATGTACTAAAATAAAAATAATAAGTAACATATTTTAAAAATAAGTACATGTATCAGTCAACAAGAAAATTCTTTGTTGACAGGTTATATGAAACACAGGTGGAGCATGCCTGAAATCCCAGCAGGTGGGGTCAAGAGGACCAGGAGTTCAATGCCAGCCTGTAATCCTAGTTCTCCTGTTAGAGGAGGAGGGGAGGAGGAAGAAGTTGCTGTTGCTGCTGGAGGGTAGAAATACTGAAAATCAATATTGTTAGACTAGTGGAGAAAAACTTAAAGCAGCATTAAAGCAGCATTAAGCAAATATTGGATATTCACTGATCTTGTTGAGGAAACGACACCTACCTTCCCACAAAGCCATGGACATCATCATAACTGTCATATATTTCAACATAGTCAGCCAAACAACCTGCATCATGTTCAAGGTCAAAGTCCAAAAAACTCAGGTGAATGCGCTGACCATACTTGAGTCTAATGTGCCAGTAGCAGACCTGGTTGTCATCGTACTCATTTGGGAAGCCTGGAGATTTAAAAATTCGCTTTGGGTCTGTGAAGACACCACCACACTCTTTTCCTAAAATGGAAAAAGAATATTTACATCTTAGACACCTATTTATTACTTTTTAATAAAATATTAAAGAAATTTCTTATTACATATTATTTATAGTATATTATGTATGCTTATAGCTAAATAATAAACATTTTTCATTAGTGGTTTTAAAATTTTCTTTATTAAAACACTTTTGTTACATTTATTTGGTTTTTTTTTTTTTTTTTTTTTTTTTTGAAAAAAGGGCCCTTTTTTTTTTTTTCTTTTTTTTTTTTTTTTTTTTGTGTGGGTTGTTGGGTGGTGT